AAGCTCATCGGCTCAGAGTTCACTCTCTTTGTTACGGTTGATTTTGCCGCAGGACTAAATGATTAATACATTTCTGATTATGAGGCTCGCCTTGTGGTTCAAAACGGACTAGTTACTACGGACTACTTCTGCACAAGTCGATGCTCGCGTGCTTTACTTTGAAGAAGTCATGAGATATGTGACACAAAGTCCATAGTTGTCTCTAATTAACTATCCTTCTTTCTGTGTCTAAACCAGTGTAACCGAAAACTTACGAACTGGAGACCTAATCTTGCTGCACTTTTTTAGACCGTGAACGTAGTTATATACTAATGAACTAAAGACTGATTGTAGGTTTCAGCATTGTAATTTCTGGATTGGATTCGGTATCTGCTAGAAGATGGATCAATGGAATGTTGGTAATTTTCAAAAATATTTAGTATATGTTTGATATATTGCCCTGTCGTTGTGTTTTATATTTTTCTTTTTATATTTTGTTGTTTTTTATTTTTCTTACCCTTATGCGATGTTCTGCCAAAAATTCGTAGTATTCCAATTAGAGTTAGTCATTTCTATCACATAGTCACATGTTTCCAATGACATGGTCATCATTGACAGGATTTTGCGCAGCGAGTATCCTGGGGATATGCAAATATTTACTGTTAAGAACATAAATCAATGGTTAGCTTTGAGCAAAATGTTTCGTTATGAGGCTGAGAAGTTGGATTTTTGAGTGCCCTTGCCTTATAAAGGTATGCGCGCAAAAAGGTGTCAAACACTGCGAAGCATGTAAGCTATGCGATCCTTCTGACTAGTTCCAAGCAGACAGGTGATGGATTTGCATCGTGGTTGATTCAACTAATTCAGCGCTTCAACACAACGGCACTTTTTCATGTTACCTGTTGATTGTTTTGAAGAAAGAATTAGTTATATGTAGCTTTAGTATTTCCTGCCTAAAAACAAGCGTTAATTATATGACCTGCTAAGTATTACAGCTGTAGGATTGCTTCATGGCTGCATGTCATCATTTAAGAAAGTTGTGCGGCTATGCCATTCTATGCGCGTGTTTTCAATGGCTGCATGGCGCCTTGGTCCACGATAATTGGCATGTCATCAGCACGTAATTTCGAACTGCATTCATACTGGTGATGAAACTGACTACCAGAGTCGGATTAGAAATGGCTCAAGTTCGTCAGCAACACGTGCAAAAACTTTTACCGGAAACTGATAATGACAGTGTTGTTCGTCTTCCACAAGCCTTTTTCAAACCTTTTGCGTTTATAGTTTGATGTTCTCCTTGTTCATTGTTTAATTGTGATTCAGTTTTTATGTTAAGTATTTGCTTTGATTTTCTTAAGAGAATAAATTTTGTTCTTGGCTACGTAAACTAAACTTAAGGCTTTAACGATTCTTTAGGGAAATGTTTATATTGGTGGCATGAGTGAATTTAAAATTTTATCATGCGATTAAATTTCTGTCACATCATATGCAGTGTTGTGACTGGTTTGTTTGTTTTCAAGCTAATTTTTAGGTTGGCTTGCTGCACTATGATGAAAATGGTGAACTGGACACATCTTCAGTCATACCTTTAATTGACGGAGGAACTGAAGGCTTCAAAGGAAACGTCCGTGTTATCCTGCCTGGCGTTACTCCTTGCATTGAGTGCACGCTAAGTCTATATCCTCCGCAAGTAAGTTTTTTTGTCCAGTAATGTTTTTACTAGTTATCGTTAAATATTCTTCGCTGTAGAAGACCATTCGTTGGCACTATATGTTTAAGTTCTCGTTACATGTGCTATTTTTGATATGTTGACTGCACATACTGCAAGACAAGATGATGATAGCTGTAACTTACACATTGTGTGATTTCAATTATGTTCATTTTCAGGTAAAGTATCAGGTATATCAGTTCGATTACTTTTATAAATGACCTTGTAAACTCATACCTACGTAACCATATGAAGGTACAACTGAGGCGTCTTTTGATTCTATCGTTAGCGAAAAAATAACCAAAAGCTCTTCATTTTGTTGCGATTTAACAATTCCACCGAACTGGCATCGGTCATCATCAAAGAATGAGCCTGTTAAGGTCTTCTGTTTTGTCTGTTTATTTTAATCTTAGATTGTCTTCTTTCAGGACTTTCAATTTTACTTCTGTTAGGTATTATGCTTCAAGTACTCCTTTTTTGCCTGGCTCCTTCGCACTCTAAGGGCTAGCGTCTTCTCCGTAACCCAGAGCAGTCTGGCTATTCTTCTTGCCGAGAAAATGGCGCATTTTTTAAGACTTAAAGCTTCATCAACGTTGCCATTTTCCGACTGAGCACATAGTTGTCACTAACATAACTTCCTACTTTTTTTCGTACGTTGACTGCATCCCCACTCATATTTTAGCTTGTCAACATTAAGAAGCTAGTATTTTTCAGCCAAGCGACGTCGATGCGACACGGCAAAGTAATTTTTTATGAAATTCTGCTATAACCATTTGGCGACCAAAGTCAGTGCAGACGCCACGCTTAACACGAGTCTCGGTCGAATAACGAGCTGCGCTGTTTGCGATTGATGAGTACCTGGTCAAGTTTGTTGTTTAGGCATCTGTCAGGGACTTCCAGGTGATTTTGTGTGTTTTGCTTATGAGGGAATAGGCTCCAGCCTACTATTCTGCTGTTTATCACGCGAAAACTCAACTGACGCCAATCGTTTTCATTCGCGTTATCAATGCAGTGACGACCGACTGCGCCTGACCATTTGCTGTACTCGGCACCCACATTCGCACTGAGGTCACCTGTGACAGTAGTGACATTGTGATGCGACAGCGCTGACGATTGACTACAGGCACTCACAGAAAGCGTTTATGTCGTTGTCACCTTTCATATTAATCGGGGCGTAGGTGACAGTGACATTCAGAGTCGCCTCTTTGGCATTCACGGGACAGACCAGGATTTTTTTCTGACACATGCTCCACAGTTTGCACTATGCAACACAAAAATGCCCACGCCGACACGGCGTAATCTGTTGCTGTCTGACCAAGTGAATGACCACCCATTCTGCAGGTCTATCGTTCACTTCTGCAGGATGCGAGCTTCCGTTACCCCCAGAACAGTGAGTTTGTTCCGACGGGCTCTACGGCAACATCGCTTAGTTTACCTATGCCAGAACAGGAACAAGCGTTTCAACATACAACGTGAATTTACCTCTTGTAGTGTTGATTGAAGGAATGGCACATTTCTTGGTTCCTATTCTTAGCGGCAACCGCTCTCATTCAAACTCCTTTCCTTGTAAACTGTAAATTCCCCTACGTTTGCCAGGAAGTTAACCTGACCGCTGAAAACAAGCTTTTGTTTTATACGTACAGATTGTTAACTTTCCTAATTATAAACCATGTCGCTCGTTTCAGGTAATGCTTCACTTTCACAGTGCAAAAATTCTTTTGTTGTTTTTTACTTGCATCCTTTAGGTTAATTACCCTATGTGTACCATTGCGCACACCCCACGATCACCAGAGCATTGTGTTGAATACGTTCGTATGATACTTTGGGGAAAATTGAGCCCGTTTGGCAGTAAGTGGTCATTTTTGTTTGTTTACTGTAAAGTCGTTAAACAGTTGGTTCCAAAATATGGTGCTGATTTTTCAGTCATGTCTGAACGTTGTTACCATTCCAAAAGTTGGTAACATGTTGGAAACAGTTTCATGTTCGCTTCGGAATTTATGTTGACGATCTCTGTCAGGTTTGTTGTCAGATTAGTGCCATTTAAGACAAATCGGACTCAAGGTATATGAGAAACATCGCCCACATTGAGTTGCCTCTCCCCTGTTAGCGAATGAGCAGCGTTGCACCTCTTGGATTTGAAAATTCATGCTTTTGTTTCCATTTTGTAACATCTCTGTTACTTGAAACCACGGTTGTATTCATGAAGGAAATTGCACAGGTTGGGGTTGTGGAGTTTTCTTTCATGTTTCATTTTTTCTGTTCAGTGCTTAGGTGAAAGTGAGGTAAAAGAATTCAGGTCCACAGTCTGACCACTGCTTGAATGTTTCTTCTGAGGAGATGAATAACACTCCAATTTTTGGTATGCACTACATAAAGATAACCAGCTCGGTAACATTGTTGAACGTTTATTGTAAGGACGGCACTTTAAAAGTCCGAGAAGTTTGACTGAGTTTATTTAATTACGAAATGTCGTTGACTGAGTTTATCATGGTGATATGGCTGTAGTGGCGTTGAGTTGCATCTTCAGATGAAGAGCGAATAAATTGTGTACGACTGTAATTGGCTGCCGTTTCAAAGACTGTACAGGATATTATGCCATGAAAATAGAGCGAAATTAGACGAAATCTTCCGTTGCCTTCTAAGCCAAACATCCGTCAAATTATTTTGGTTGATTCAGAAATGGCTTGCCATAACTACGAAAGTTGCTAATAACTTATCTAATGGCATGAAAAAAGTGAATAAAATAGACATATGTAGCAGCATGTCAATAGAAAATTGACCACGAAGGTTTGAAATTGGACAAGAAACATTTGATGGTACTGAAAAGTCTTCTTTTGACTTTTAAATAGACTGTTTCATAGGAAATAGCTATGTGTTTACTGAAAATATCTTTCAAATTTTTTTTGACTAACGATTTGCAGTTAGAATTCCATTGCTTTTCAGATTAAAAGGTGTATGAAATACACCGTGTTTTTTTACATTTTTCAGTATGATCAAGAAAGCAGCAACAAGGTACTAAATCTTCAGGTGTTTTTTAGATTGTGATATCGATGGCGATAATCCGGATCACATAAATTGGATATATGAAAGGGCTACTGAACGAGCAGAACTTTTCTCAATTAAGGGAGTGACATACCGATTAACGCAGGGAGTGATAAAAAACATTATTCCAGCGGTTGCGTCTACAAATGCTGTTATTGCAGGTAACCTCTCGATAAAGTATAAAGATCTTATTCTAATATTTCTCTAAATACTCACTAGTTGGGTTCAGAATAGATTATCATACAGTTGGTAATTTATAGTTCGTGTACAACATCCTTAGGACCGTAGCTTCTGTTTTCGCTGTCGCACCAGTTCACTGAAATTCGTTTGTGATTTTTCTGTCAATCTTACTTCATATAAAAGGATCACTGACATGATATTCTCATAGTAGTGAATGATAGAGACATGCTTCATTTAAGTGGATCGAGCTTAATTTAAATGATTGCATTTATAACTTTTTGCCATCTTACCCGAAAGTAAAGCAGCTTTGTTGCGGAAGTGGCATGAAGCCTGCTGATTGAGTCACTAGTGGTGGCCACTGTGATTACTTAAGCCGATCCTGACCACGGAACGAAGTGCTTTGACGTAGTTGAAGGAAACATTGTACAGTACTGTTTCCCGTATTCTCGTACAAACGCCAATGTATGTAGCGATCTGTCTTTCCAAATTGTTCGAAATCTTCACAAAATTGATATCTAAGCAAAATGAAGTACTTCAAAAAGTACAGCACGATTGCTAAACAATTTGAAATGATTCTAAACAGCGGAAGCTGCGATGATAGTTGTACGGCATCGCTGAGGAATTTCCACAGAAAGTGATACATCCTTCATTCTGGGTTGCCATAGTTGCTAAAACTATTGTACTAGTTATTTTGCAGGAACTGTTTCTTTTCTTTAATGGTTGGTTACTGCTAATGTCGAAACATTTTTGGCCACTCAGTTCTTTTTAATGTATCAGGCTACGATATAAAAGTTCGTAGTTTCTGGTGAGTGTGATGTTCATACTTGATTCAACGTTCAACCAAACCCTTAGTGACAGCACGTTGTCAAGACGCCAAACTGATCTCTTATTTTGAATGATTAAATACCCGTTTCTTGCATTTAAAAGCCAATTTTCATTCGCATAAAAAGTGTACGGTGCGCCTATTTTCCAACGGTTTGGACTATGCTCGATCTTTTCCCCTGAGCACAGCAAAAGAATGCTACAAAACAGGAAAGGACATAAAAGAGAATGCTACCGTAACGAAAGAATGTTTCTGCTGCAGCACTGTTTTATTCTGTTTGATGATGTTTCGATTGGATGAATTGCGTATGATTGAAAACTTTGGAAAGTATGTACATTGTGAACTTATTATCTGTTGTTATCCCATAAGGGATTTTTGCAATTTTGAGCATTTATTATGGCTGTATTTGATTCGAGCGATGAACTTTCTTACTCTTGTACTTTGTAGCTGCATGTTCTTTGGAAGCATTCAAGATAGCTTCAAGGTAAAACTTCGTTTCTGCTGTGATGTCTGTTTAAGTTTCCATTTAGTTCTGCCCTGCCGTTGAACAATTACATGAATTTTCAGGACAGCGACGGAGTTTACACCGGTGTTGTGGAGTTACAAAGAAAAGTAGTTTGTGAATGTCTTTTACTGCATTATAATTTATTATTAGCTTCTTAATCAGTTGTTTAAATGGAAAAGTATTTTTTCTAAAATAAATCTAAAGAGTTTCTTTGCGAAATGGTAAGATATATTGTTTCTGGTTATATACTTGGACCATTTTTTAAATTCCTTCCATACCGGTTTGAAATTTCACTCGTATGCTTAATGCATAGATTTCCTCAGTCAAATGCAAAAATAGTAAATGAGTTCATGTGTATGAGATCGTTTGGCATTTCTTATTACTAGGTTGCAGGCACTGCAACAGCAAACTGTGCTGGTAGCATCCATTTGCTTTGTAATCGATCTGGCCGTTTTGGTGACTAAAAATTTAGCATGTTTATATTTTTTGTGCATATAAAATAACACATGCATAATAACTTTGGTGTTTGTGTCTGATTGGCAGTTTGATTCAGGTTTTGAATTTTCAGGAAGATTGCCTAGTGTGTAGTCAGAAGCCTCAGAAGATTACTTTTCCCGAAGATGCGAAACTTGAAGATATTGTTTCTTTCTTAATCAATAGTGCGGAATAGTATGTAGTGGATATGTCTGGAAAGAAATTTTGCTCACTTTGAATTTAGTCAAATGAAGTCGCCGTCTTTGACAGCTCTCACTCCCAAGTTTACTACCCTGTACATGCCCACAGTTCCGAGCCTTGAACAACAGACAAAGATGAATTTAGAAAAATCGTTGAAAGGTACTTACTTTCTCTTGATGTCGTTTAAAATCATCTGATATTTCTTAGTTACCTTTGGTTAATTTCGTACAGTCGTTTGTAAATTTACACCACATCATTTCTGTAACGGCGTTATTTGCAAAATTTAGCGTTGATTTGACTGACTCTTCTGCGCGTATAGCTGAATCCTATTTGCATGTAGCAACGACGGGTATAAATTGAGATCTGATTTGAACAGTCATGCAATGTAATCGGTTTCCAATGCATATCTTTCTCGAATTTTCTTGATTCGCACTTTTTGGACAACTGTTTGTCTACGTAGCATCAGTCGCTAGGGTTTCTTTGATACATCACTCTGCAGGTGATGCCCACTCCTGGGGTTGGTTGTGCGGATTCTATCCAGAGTTGCCCATGCTTTACGGGCAAAGTTGAACCCGGGCAGAATTCTTTTCAGATCTGCGACTAGGTGTTTCTTTGGCTAGTTGGGATTCCAACAAATTTTCCTCTACTCATCATTGGCGTCGAAAGATGATGTCATTAAATCGTGGGCGATTTGCCAGGATGGTTTTCGTAATTTGATTCTTGTCGTGGGGTGGTTCTATCGTTCGTCCTCAGGTATCCTGATTAGATTCTTTCACTGCATGTTTAACGTTGTTCAGCCGTTTTGTTTTGGCGTCGCGTTTGTTAACCTGTAGAACTTGAAGTCCGGCAGTTTCAGTTTCAGAAATAAAGGTCTTCATATTTTGCTGTTATATCTTATTGTCAAAGTCTCTTTTGTGCGCTTTTAATTTCAGATCTCGGCTTGCACGATGGGCAAGAAATTTACGTGGCTGACCAAACAACCCCGATGACTATAACATTTAAACTGCATTTAACGTCGCCAATGGAAATCAGCAAATCACCGGATAAAGGTAGTTCCGTTATGTGATAGTTATGCAAAATTGTCTGCGACTGTTTTGTTCTGAATTTGTACCTTGTTTTATTATTAAATAAATATTTTATTCCCTATTAGACTCGATATGGCTCTTTCTTCTGCGACTTGAAAAATTTATTACATGGACATACGGCATTGTGGCATATATGCATTGATGCAATGCCTAAGGTTCAGTGTTTCGTTCGTGGTTTTTTGGTCTTACAACAGGATGATCATAAACAGCTCAGACAGTATTGTCAGTCGGATGAATGACCAATTCGTATCATCCCATTTACCGTGTTGCTTGCGTTTTATGTAAATAATATTTTCTTCCGTTTTCAGTATAACGGCTCAATAAAAATACAATTACTTTTGTAAAATTATGCCAAATTTTATTTTTTACAAGGACTTCTTATCATGTAGCTTTTCTAATCAAACATTTACTACTGAATAAAATTTTACATAAAGAAGGTTAATTTAAATGCGGGTCTAGTGTAACACATTTATGACGATAGACACGGTGATGGTAGGAATGCACAGTTAGCTAATTGATAGTTGAATAGTTAATGTATGACCCCTGATATTTCAGCGATATATTGTTGCCACCGCATTCTCACCATTTTTTCCTTTTAATCTACTACCTTTACAGAAGTAAAAGATACGGATTTATGCGCAAAGTGTGTGTCCAGCATTTAAATCCTTCAAACTTGATTATACGACTTGCACCGCTCCTTCGTGTCTGCTTACCTCAACCATTTACAACGGCTACAGCTTCATGATATTTGAATACCGTGAAGTGGTAAGTATCTCATCATTTTCAAGCGATCCATGTAGTTTGTAAGTACTTTTGTTTATTAAAAGCATGCAATGAATTTTTGATGTTCATATACTGTTAGCACCTATTTGACGGTCATGGAAAGTAGAAAATCTCGTTGCTCTCTGAGAATATCGAGGGTAGTTCAAGCCATGTATTTGTTTCGTTCAGTCACACTAGCTTGACTAAGCAGTCCTTGCTGATTATAAAATGAAGAAAAAGTCTAAAATATTATGGCCTGAAAACCGCCTTAGATCAAACTTTGCCAAGTATTTTTGGCATGATGCATTATTTCTTACAGCGATGGACTTATGATAATGGCAATAGTCGTTGTCAGTAAAGCTGACATTGGAAACAAAAATGATGTTTCATCGATTATTCCCAACCTTAATTGAATGTTTGAGGAACAAAACAGTGCAAAGCATAATTGCGTAAGCTTGTATGTACAATAATTTGAAGTGGCGCCTTATTGTATATCCAGAACTGGTTATGGTTTTGGTCACTATGGTCACTATTCGTTTCAATATTTGCACTGTTAACCCTAACATTGCTGGTCCCAAGCCTGGATGAGAGAGAGTGTTAGGGACTGGCGAAGCTGCCGTTAAACTCTTCCCCCTGCCCCTCATGATACTGACGCTAAGATGAGTGTCATTGTCGTGTGCATTCATTTGCAGCAACTGACAACCCAGAATTTCTTGATGCTCTGTTTTTTGGTTTCTTTTGTTGTTAACAGGGGACGTATTCAGAAAATCAAACGTAACAAAAAATGTGGATGGCAAAATGTTTCGAAAAGAACGTTTTCCAAAAGCCTGCATTTTCCTGTGGTAATTTCCAGCAAATGCAGTGCCGTCTTTCCGAAATCCTATGATTTTAAAGCGCTTCTCATTATACCGCTTTTCATCAACTTTGGCGTCATTCTCTTGCAAACATTCTAGCTATAAAACACGAACGACGAGAACATACTTGGTTTAGATGATTTCGTTATTTACCGTCTTGATCATTCCAAGTGATCCGTTTGATAGAGATCCAGCTTCACACTGATTGTTTTGTTGTTTTGTAATTATTTAGTTCTCGTATCCAGGTCACCTTATCATGTGCTTTGGGGTTCAGTTAATTCAATTCGCTGGACTGAACAACTGACGGACTGACTGACTGTTCACACACTCACCCTCACTGAGTCTTCGGTGCCTTAGTGGTTGCTGTTGCAATGAGGTTAGAGACTAGTCTGAAGGAATATACTCTCTAGCGACGGTTGATTCAGCAAATGTCCAAAAACTGTCGATATTTTTTTCTTGAAT